ACACATATAGGCAAAACAACTATACACATAAAATAAAAATGAAAACATAATAGATAAATAACATCTACATTAAAAAACAGACAAAAAAGAAGTAAAAAAAAGAATTTCTTTTTTCTAATTAAATTGTTAAACCTGAAATGTAGTTTTCACAGAATATATCTTTGTACATTAGTAATCTTTTCTGACCCAACCCCTCTCTGGGCCTCAGTTCTTCTTTAAAGGCATTGGTTACAGAGATCATAAGCTTCCACGGGGATATTTCAAAAAGAGAACAAAATGGTTTACAGTAATAAATTACATATCTTCCCTTGGACATTCTTATTTAGGTATCTGGGACAACTGTCATTGAGTCATTTATAAAGTTAAGAAAACAAGACCAAAAATTTGCCCAAATTTCTGTATTTATTCAGAAAACTATTACCTAAGAAAATAATAGATGTGCTTTATAGAAGTCTGTGCGGCGAGCTTCCAAACAGAGTTAAAATCTAATGAGCCTGAGGTCACTGATGAATCTAGTGTCCCGGAGCTGAGACTTCAGGCCTGGCTGACAGTTCAGAGGTGGCCCACCGTTAGCTTTAAATGATGGCGCACGCATATGAGAACGTGGCCATCTTCTCTTTACCGTCTGACTTGAGGGTCTGAACTTTAAAAAGAAGTAAAAGAAACTCACTTTCTTTCTGTGGCTTTAGAGTAACCTCAGAAATTAAGCAATACCCAAGTGATCAGACTCTAAGTAAAGAAATACCTCCCTGGGATCGTCAGGCTTACAAGGAGCTCAGCAGGAAGAGGCCAAGGCTGCTTCCTCTCCCACCTCCCTCTCCACCTGCCTTACAAGGCACTCAGTATGAAGCCAGCAAATGATCTTCTTGCTTTCCCAGCAGGAAGTGTATTTCAGGGCAACTGAGAAATTTCAGTTGCTGACTGAAAAAAAAGCAACTTTACAGGAGAATAACAGCTAATAAACACAGGTGGGGCAGAATGATAGGATAGTTGTTTTTTTTTTTTAAGTTAGATAACAATTACCAATTATTTCAGTCTCGAAAATGAATGGTCTGTGGCTGGACAGGTGGCCCTGCAAGTGAAACCACTGCTCTTACTGAGGATCTGGATTCAGTGCCTAGCACCCACAGAGTGGGTCATGACAGCCTCAAATTGTACGTCCAGGTACCTGATGCCCTCTTCTGGCCTCTGTAGGTACCCACATGTAGATGGTGCACTTCCATTTGTGTAAATGTATGTGCAAGCACACACACACACACACACACACACACACACTGCAAACAAACAAAGAAACAAAAAGTCAGTGGAGAGTCATCCATTGATATACAAGTGACATCGCCCAATCGAGTGCCTGGCCACAGTGAGAAAAGGTTAGCTGAGCACATCAGGACGGACTTGTCCTCTATTATCAGGTAGAGTAAGATAACAGACAATAAACTATTGATCATGCACCTCAGAAAAGATAATGTTCTTGTGCGTTACTGGTATTGTGTGCACATTCTATTTTCATATAAGTTTAAGGGGTAAGAAAACAAGATCACTGATCCCACATGGATGACCCCGTCTCATAGAAGATAGAACATCCTACATGGAAGTCCTATCATCTCTTTAATAAGAATGCCATCAAAATCAGAAATGGTCAAGATTAGGAAGCACGATGAGCATAAGAATGTAATATAAAATGTGATTTTGAGACCTTGATTTAGAACACTAGATTTAGAGAACTTTGTGTGTGTGTGTGTGTGTGTGTGTGTGTGTGTGTGTGAGGGGGCAATGAAGATATCTAAATATGGATCAGACAATAGAATAAGAGGTAATATGTTACCATGCTGCCTACAATGGACTGAAAAAATCAGGTTATAAACAATAGAAAAAGATACTACCTCAGCTGGACAGTTGGAGAAATATTTATAACAATGTATAAAAGCAAATCTAAAAGGACTTAGAATGCTGGGAAATTAAACATCAGTCAGCTCTTGTGGGGCTTTTGTTTTGGATTTTTATCCATACATAGATTTATGTTTTTTATACTATAGATGCATTTCTTTTAGTAATAAAAACAAATTTATTAAATAAGTAGTAGCAAATATGACATTGGCCATCTATAATTGATCACTGATAACAATTTTTTTGTTTTGCTGGTTCAAAATGTATTATCAAAAGAAATGTACATTGTTGATCATGCTCAATGCACATTGCAGATTAGTTTGCTATGTTCTCCTTTAGTTTGTGAAATGTAGCTGTATTTACGGTACAGACCCATTGCAATTTGAACTATTCTCATGTTGTCTGATCGTAAGCTCTTAATGCTTTCAAGATGTATCATAAAAGTCATGTTAGTTATTAAAGGGATGTGTGCAAGGATCTGTTGCCCATCATTATATGAGAGCTTTGCATGAGCTGAGTTTTAAATCTGAGACATCTCTTCAGTATTCAATTACAGAGGGCAAGAGAGGTGTGAGATGTTCAATGTTTAAGAGTGGATGAGAGTAATGGGTGCAGGGAGAGACTTAAAAGCCATCAAAATACCAGGAGAAGCTAGGAGCAGTTGTGTGAGCCTATAATCCTAGTGATTGTGTGGCCAAGTCAAAATAGCAACAGCAATAGACACTACACTATCAGGAGAAAAAAGTGTTATTACAGTAATATTAGGATTCCCATGATATGATCATTCTCTCCTTTAAGTATTTTATGGGGATGAAACACCTGGAATACATCAAAATTGGGTAGGATCATGAAATATAAAGAGAATAAAAAGCTTTTACAGAGAAGAAGTCAACACTATTAAAAGATAGAAAGATCCTGAAATAATTCTTAAGAAAATGGTGTTTGGCTTCAGTAAGCAGATATTAGGGAGTTTGGTATTAGCAACTGAACTGATTGGGGTGACACACAAGCCACAAGGGGTGGGGAGAGAATGAGGTTGGGGAAGTCCAGATGACAGGAGTGGAATATTATTTTTAAGAAAAGTATCCTGGGACTGGAGACTTGGCTCAGTGGTCAAAAGCACTTGATGATCTTGAAGAGGACCAAGGTTTGATTCCCAGAATCCATATGGCACTTCACAACCATTGATTAGTCCATTTCTGGGGATCTTGACCTCTGTGGGCACCAAGCATGCATATGATGTACATATATCCATGAAGGCAAATGCTTGTATACATAAAGTCATAATATAAATAAATCTTAAAATATAATGATCTCAGACAATGAAGGAACTTGATAACAGCACATAATTGAAAGAATGAAAAGCTAGATGTTTAGAATGGAAAAATCTTGTCTATATTCACAAATTAATGGTTGAGATGTTAGGCAAAAAAAGTACAAAGAGATAGAGGAAAAAATGAAAGGTACTCACAAAGCAAAGACTCACAGTGCAGGATGAAATGAAATCAAGGGCATAAAATGTGTTTGAACAGAATTTATGTTATGCACCATCTGGGTGATTGTGTCAAAAGTAGTGGTAGATACACCAGAAAGGAGATGAAATGTGAACTGTGGCAGGAAGAAGATGCCTACAAAACCTGAAGCAATAAAAAAGATATAAGTATCAGTCTACAAATTCTTGGGTAGATTTTAGCAGTACTTAGACATAGATTAAAAGCAAAGGGGATACTCTACCTGTGCCCACTTCCTGGACTGCATCCTTGGTAAGCTCTTTATTAGAAGACAGACAAGATGCAAGAAATGATGTTGGAAGGCTGAGAGCAGTATGATCAGCTGATGGGTCTCCACTGGGCAGGGAAGGCCAGGAGACTGAAATATTGGATTAAATTGGAGAACGAAAATATATAGCAGGTGTGCTGAAGGTTGGCACCAAAGAACAGCCATGAGGCAAGTAAGATGGGATGCTAATGTAGAGTACAGATTCCTGAGATGAAAAGGAATCTGTGCAAGGACAAGACCCTGTATTTGATCCTGAGATGAAAAGCTCACATTCAGTACACCATTGAGATACTAGTGCTTCGTTTCACTTAGGTGGGCTGGGGTTAATAAAATCTCCCAGAATTGAGAGAGGAAGAAAAATACAAAAGTGAGAAGCTGGAAAGAGTGAGGCATATTAGAGTGGATGAATTTTGTTGCAGGATTGCAGGAAACATCTTTTCTACTAGCGAGTGAAGATGTCTTTATCTGGGTTCCTGTTGGGTTCCTGGAATATAGGATGTAAAACAGCTATGGTACCCTGCCTCTGCTGGCAATTGAAAGGAAAACTGACTCTTTAAAATTAGAGGCAAATCACAGTTGAAGCAATGGTTGAACCACAACTAAGGTGATGTGTTTAATTTCCAAAGTATAAAAGAATGTGGATGTTAGAAAGTCCCTGACAAGGACATTGAAGTTCACATAATGTTTACTGGGAAAGTGTGAAGGTTCCAGTGGATCAACATATTGATAGAGGGAGGATAAAAACAAAACACGTTTAGAGTTCAAATTGATTGGCAGAGGGGTGATAGCATCCCCCCCTTTCTCCTCTCCCTTTTTTCCTTACTTTCTCATTTTTTCTTCCCCTCTCCCTCTCTTCTCTGTTTATCAGATTATTTTGTTGTTTCCTTTATTAAAATACAGATATTACTAAGTGACAGAAACTGGCCTCAAGTTCATTCACCTCAGCCTCCCAAGTGCCAAGTACTCAAGTCACAATGTGACATAATACCAAACTTTGGACATGCCTTTTATAGGTTGGATTTTTTTTTAGACTTGGGACAAGCTGGGGTCATTTGAGAACTTCAGCTGAGAAATGTAGGCAAATCTATGAGGCATATTCTTGATCAGTGATCAACCACCGCTCAGCACTTGGCCTTGGGCTATATGAAAATTCAAGAATAAATCATAGAGAACAAGTCATAAGCATCATTTCCTCATGGTCTCTGTTTTGTTTCCTGCTTTCAGGTCCCTGCCTGACTTCCCTTCATGGTGGACAGCGAGTTATTACCTGAAATGAATCCTTTCCTCCTCACTTTGCTTTATTGTCACAGCAACAAGTGAACAATCTGGAATACTCAGCAACTGGTAATTTTATGATAGAGGGGCCTGATGAGATGTGGATGACATCATGATTCTGACATATGGCCTCATGACGTTCCCTAAAATATCTCCTATAATTCCAGAGAAATTATACCACCTTTTACAAGCTTGGGAAGAGGCAAGCACCCTTTCACCTTGGAAGGAGCTACCTGGATCTCACAAACAGAGCCAGAACTTCTGCTACACTAAGCTCTGAGGACATGTCAATGGAAAGTACCAATAGCACCTGTTAATGAGGGGTGGTGATTCCTTTTCAAACATTCAAGATGCTACAAGCATTTTCAAACACCAGCCCATTGTACAGATTTTTAAATATACCAGTATTCAACTAGAATTAGGATTCTAGTCAAGAGGTTACCTGCAAGTTATCCATACACCATCATCTTTATCATCTTAATTTTAAGAGACTCCACTTATAGCTCTAGAAAAGAAACATTGTTTATTCATATACGAGCAATATTAGGTTCATAGTTGCACAGTCTTCTGGAATTGAGTCATGGCTTTCCCTCTCAAGAGGTATACGAGCCCTGATTTACCATATATTTAATGTTCCAGACTATACTCATTTACCTGAAGACATTTGTATGCAATCCTTGGCTCATGCCCCTGTGAGTTAAATAATTCATTTTAATTTACATTAAAGAATCATTATAGAAAACAAGTTACTGATCGCAGCTTTAATGTATCAGTATTGCATGTATATATTTGCTTTTTAGGATGGATTAAATTTCATGATAAATTAATCATATGCCTATAAACATTAACAAACTGAAAAAGCTGCATTGCTATGGTCTTTACACTATGCAGGGGGACTTCTAATGTTCCTAATATGGTTTCCAAATACCCTTCAAATACCCTTCACTTTCATATGTATTTTGTTTCATGTGCAACATTTGGGGAATTACTTTTATCACATCTTTCCTGCCCTTAAATTCATCTCACTCACTTAGCTATCTGCAATTCCACCATGCCCTGTGCTCCCATCTCTACTTCTTTCACTGTAGCTCACCCCTCCTAGTATTTAAATGAGTTCACTTGAATGATCTTAGAAACAAATCTCAGAAACTATAAATACCTCTATTTATCACAATTTGGAATGTATAGCACATATGAAAACCATACATGTAATAGCCACACATGTATAATAATCCACATATAAAATAACAGTATGTATAATAACCACACACACATATATACCACATATGAAAATCATACATGTGTATAATAATACATATAAAATAGCTATATATAAGCATATATAAAATAGCTATATATAAATATAATAACCACACACACAACACACACAATATATATACCACATATAAAACTGTGTATATGATATCCACATATATAGTAATCTATGTATAAAATAACTATATATAATAACCACACACACATTTGCGGTTAAGAGAAAACAAATCTCTGAAGCTCATAAAAGCTATAATTTCGGAATTGCTGATGGAAAGTAATTTGATGTGAGCTTCTTGGAAGACAAAGAAAAAGGGGAAGTTCAAACAAATTTATTAGTCACGATAATGCCCAATACAAACGCCATGTAGTCATTGGCAGGCTGAGGAGCCTATTTGATACTCAGACCTGGAGGAAATGTCATCACTGATTTTGAAGTGTATTGTGTGATATGATAAACAATGCCTCCAGCAGGGCTGGAGCCATGACTAGGTTGATTTAGTGTTTGGCATGCAAGCATGTGGCCCTGGGTCAGGTCTTCAGCATCACACAAAATCTTACAGCAACATAGGGGGTGGGGGGTGTCTACAATCTCAGGGCTGAGGAAGTGGAAACAGGAGTGTACCAGAATCTCCTCCTGTTGGTCAGCAATAGGTTATAAAGAATGAAGGAGACACTTGATACAATTCTCTAGCCTCCCGACACCCAAGTACATATACGCAAACATGAACACATGCACACACGTACACACACACACACACACTAAAATTAAATATTTTTAAATGTCCATAGCAGCAACCCTTAGACATTAGAGTTGAGGAGCTGTTAATTAAAATATTCCATAGTATGAGCTAGTGGGAGAACCGTGATACATAATTCCACGGAAAAGCCATGGAAGATCAAAGCAACAGAGATCAAGGTAGAAAACATGGCTCCCTAGAACACCCTAAACTCAGGATATTTAAAACTATCACAAGGAGTAGTTTAATATTCAGGTTTTCAGATAATCCTGTCACAAATTCTGTTTCTTTCAGTTGACTTTGAAAATCAAGGATGGAAGGGCAGTGCCTAAAGAACACAGTGCCAAGATGCCATCACGTGACAAAGAATGCCTGGGAACCGAAGAGACACAGCTAGAGCACATGCCTGGATGGGAGTCTCTGCCCAGGAACAGAAGGAGGCTGGCCCATGGTGAGCTTTTTTTAGCCAGGGCCACTTTGTCTGTTCTAACATGAAGCTGAGTGGAAAACCCTCTGCACTATATTTAGACAAATTAAAAATTACACATTACCAGGGACTGAGGAGAGTGTTTGGTGAGTACATACATTAAACAAGAGGACCCCAATATGGATTCCCCAGAACCCATGTAAAAAAAAAAATTGGGCCCCAGATACAGCTTGCAATCCCAGCACTGGGGGGCAGAGATTGCAGCATTTCTAAGGGTTTGCTGACTACCTGCTGCAACCAATTATTGAGCTTCCGGTTCAGAGAGACAGACAGAGAGAGATCTTGCCTCAAAAAAAAAAAAAAAAAAAAAAAAAAAAACCAAGAGTGGTTGAAGAAGACACTCAACAAAAACCTTCGGCCTACACATGCTTATGCACACCTACATACTTTTGCACACCTTTACACACACACACACACACACACATTCATGTGGACACAGAGTCAGGCCCACTACATTTGGAGAAATACCTGCATAGCTGTTGCACGTCTCTGGATGTCCTGTTTTAGCAGGAACAATCATCTTCAAAGCCCTGTTAATGAGTGTGCCAGCATGACTCTGCCAACATGGTAGAGAATTAGCATTTCTCTTGGCCCCCTTCTCCACCCAGTAGTGGCTAAGGCTTCTTTCTGCTACACTAGTACTTGAGCTTTGCCCTCTGTGGCTCCCACCACCCCATACTTCTGTAACCTCTTCCACGAGAACACATCATCCACACACAGTTGATTTCAAATATTACTAGGCGACAGATTTGTTTGTAAAATGGCAAAATTAGATAACGCATCTCATCTAAATTCATGCTTTCCCTCTAATAATAGAATTGTATGGTGGCTTGAGGAGGCATGCTGCATCATCGTTCGGTAGCAGTTTATACGTTAGAACACTCTGTACGCCTCCAAATAGCCAACATAGCTCCTTGCATCTCATCTTTGGAGACTTTCTCTTCTAAAGTCTTCTTTTTCCATCCCACATATTCAACTGTCCTTCTATTCCCACCAGACTACTTGGACAGTAACTTACATTTTAAATTGTCGTAACTGCAGGTACTGCCGGGCTGTCAATCTCAAAGGTATTTATAAGCTACACACACACACAAACGCAGTGAGCAAAGGGATTCTGCTTAACCAGCTCTGACTACCCACTTTAAGAAAATCCCGGGGTGTGCCTAGGAGCCACTGCTAACAATTTGTTACGCAAGACAGTGTTATAGCTTTCTAAGTGGTAAGTAACTGTTTAAAAATTCCCCAGCATTCTGAAAATGCTTCACTTAAACATTTCTGCAATAAAATCTTATTGAACTGTTGCTTTCATTAATTTTCTACAGACTAGAGAGCAAGGAACTCAAGTCTGATTTTTTTTCTTTCAACTTTGCCTACTACAGGCAAATAAACTATGGCTCTTTTTAAAATAAACCACTGGTCTTGAGTTTTGGACCCTTAATAGTAGCCTACATGGTTGACTACCCTTGGTGTCAAATTTTCTTAAATTGTATTTCTGTCAGTGTTTCATTTTTTTTTCAAGCAATGGACCCTATAATAGCAAGCAATGGTCTGTCAGGAATGCATTTTAACAGCATGACACAAGTATTTTTCACTACAGGAGACAAACAATGATATGTATTACATGCAATAAACATTGCTTTGGTACACAAGGTTCTTTTAGCATTTATCTGTCTCAAATCTCTCTATGTCCTGGAGGGTGGCTTGCAGGGGAGGGAGAGGAACACTGCTGTGTATGAACGTTGCCGGTGGCTGTGGTATAGCAACAGAATTTCCACAGCACTCATGAAAGAAAGGCTTGGCTTAATGTTAAATGACCACACCAAGACCTGCTGGTTCACAATTAGTAAGCCTCTTGTTTTTGAATAACTATCACAGCTTTCTCTTATAACTCCTTTACCAAGCACTCATATTTGCCTGCTCCCATCCCAAAATGTCATTACCAAGAAGCTTTCAATCAAGCATCAAAAGCGACTAATACAGAGTGGTCTCAAAACAGGGGGTAGGAAACTCCAGGGATCTCTTAGTTTCTATTTTTCTCTTATTTCAATATCACTATCATAGCTTTAAAAAAATTACAATGGGGAATTTAGAACTTATCAGTTTTGAAGATTTATTTTGATTGTTTTAAGTATGTGTAGATGTCTATGTGCAGACAGACACCCCTGAGTGCAGGAGCCATGGAAGCTGGAAGAGAAGAAGGCAGAAGATTCTCTGGACTTGGAGTTACAGGTAGTAGCCAGCCAATGGTATGAATGCTGGGAACTCAGGTCTGTTTTTCTGCAAGAACAGCGAGCATTCTTATCCACTGAGTCATCTCTCTAGCACCCAAGATTGATAAATACAGATAAATGGAAAGTTCACACTTAATCGTTTTAAAGAACACAATCAAAATGTTGAGGTAACACTGTGAGAAATAAAAGACTCAATACAAAGATAACAACATCCCTACATTCTTGCAATTCAAGAAAATGGCAGAAAAGTCAACACTGTTATGGAAACCTAAAACAACCTAAAATTTATAATTCTGCCCTAGGGAACATTAACTAGAGTGCTTTACAAGGTCATGGACTTTCACATGCTAAAATGGAGTTAGTGAGGGCAAGTAAGATATCCAAGAATGCTGTCACTTCAGTTACAGAGGAAATCCAATTTTCACTAATTCCCCTAAAGAGTCAAATTGGCCCTAATAATAATCTCCTCTGTTAGGAAATCTTGTTTGTTTTTTTTTTTTTGATGTGGCCTCAAGTGCACATATTTAGCTATTTCTTCATCTATCTTCTTTGTAAATGAAAAGCCGGCAAGAGATCTTATTACAGTAGCAGCTTTTCATATTCGTGATTATTAATCACTCTTAAACCTCATCTTAATCTGTTTCTTTAATGTTCTTTTTATGTTTAATTTTCCCACTACCTTATCTTCATAACTCAGAGAAATCCTTCTTTCCCAACAACAGAAGCTGCCAGTGAACTGTCAGCTGAACTCCTTTCTGGGGGATTCCCAACAAATCCATGAAAGGGCACAGCACCTCTACTTTCCAGGAAGAATCTGGATGTATACAGGGTCCAGGAAGGACCTAGAGGCCCATGAGGTGGAAAAACAGCCCCCTGACTTTCCAGGAAATACTTGGGCATCCTCGGGGTGGAGTAACATCACCCTGACTTTCCAGAAAATACTTGGAGGCCCAAAGAGGTGGAGTAACTCACAAAGAAGTGCACAACTAGGTTGTATCTGAGTGGGGCTGTTTTCAAGTTGAACTGTTTACCATTCTGCTTCTCAACGTACCTCTGAATCCAGAGGTTGCCTCTAACCTTGCCTAGTGGACAAGCTGTTTGAGGAACTGATGATGATTTGTAGGACTTATTTTTTTAATATGTTTATATTTACAGAAGGTAAAAACCACATGAATTGGTCACAAAAGGGACATCTGCCAGTTCTGCTGTTGCTGCTGATGGTGACAAGAACATTCGTGGCGGGAATAATGTGTGATGAGTAGCAAAGTGGTCAAAGTTAGGAGATATTAAACCTGGTGGTGTGGCTCCTACCCATCATCTCAGCATTCAGGACCTGTAGGAGCTGAGGCAGGAGGAGATCTGTGAGTGGGAGGCCTTCTGTGCTATACAGTGAGTTGAAGGCTAGGCTGGGGTCCAGAGTGAGACTCCTTCTCTAAACAGAAACCCATGGGGATGTGTGTGCAGCTTAGTCTGTAGAGATCTTGTGTGGCAGAACAAGCCTTGGGTTTGATTTACAGTACTCTGCTAACTGGGCATAAAGGCAGAAGCCCGTAACCCAGCATTAGAGACATGTAGGCAAGAAGACAGTGAATGAGACATGTTAGTTCATCCATAGTTACAACACAACTGTAAGAGCAGCTTTGGGAAACAGGAGACATTGGCAAAAAAAAAAAAAAAAAAAAAAACAGCAAGCAAATAAAACAAAAAGAAGCAAAAACTATATAAAATAAAACCCACACCACACCTAAGTGGTGAAAACCAGAGATTCTGATTATCACCAGTAGATAAATATCTAAAAATGAGCCTTTAAAAAAGAATCAATTTAAAATCTCTCAAGAATTAACCATGGCAGGCCTCTGCAAAGGTCCACCGTTGATCAAAAGCACAGAACATTTAACATGCTTGGTCAAATGAACACTCAATCTTCTCCAAAGACAGACTTTGTTTAATAATGACCACCAACAAGCTTATTTAAGCAATCAAGAAACTATAGGGTCAAGATGAAATAACCTTTCCTTGAAATCAAAGTAAACTCCATCTCCTTTAGAAGGCAGTAATGGCAAATGATTAGGAATGTCAACTCAACCTTCACAAAATGGCAGCAATAAGAGGGAAATCAGCTCCTGGGACAACTGGAAACCACAGGAAAAAGTACCTGGGACTCAGGATTGTGACAGTAATGATTAATTCTTTTTTTTTTTTTTTTTTTTTTTTTGAGACAGGGTTTCTCTGTAGCTTTTTGGTTCCTGTCCTACACAGCTCTTTGGCCAACACTAGCTTTGGGAACAGTATGTATTACAATTTTTGTGTGTGGAAGTGAGCCGCTGTTTCAGGATCCCTCAAATGTGTCTCCCTAGGAGATTCAAGGTACATTAGCCCAGGTTCTCAACAAGGATAGTGACAAAACCCCAGGGCATCTTCTAGATTTATGTGTAGGTACAAACACTTTGACTTGCATTCAGAAGTTTAATTAACTTCTTTCTGTTTTAGACAGTAAATCACAGCTTATACTTATCCTTAAATAGGACTGAGCTCTGGAGCCTCACTCCATGGTCAGTGCACTGACTGACCTTCAGAGGACCTGGGTTTTATTCTCAGCACCCACATTGTGGGCTCACAACCATCCACAGCTCCAGTTTCAGGGAGCTCTAACACTCTCTTTATGGCCTCAAAAGGTATTAGGTACTCATGTGCAAAACAGGCTTACACAATAATAATAATTGTCTTAAAAGTTTAAAAAGAACAAATATCAATTTTTTTGGTTTTAAAAAATAATGCTTATCTCCTCCTGGT